GTTTGATTACGGTTTGTTCGTACAACATAATACTTTTGTCATAGCAACCAAAAAGCTTTACCTATATGAATTTTGTTAAAAATACAATAATTTTTTCTTAATATATAAAATCTAAATTTTAGTGCAGACAGAAAGACAAAATAGTATCCGTTGGGCATTATATTAATTTATATAAAATAATATCTCGTTATTATGTAATTTTTATTAATTAACTTTAAACAACTGAAATGCTTAATTTTTATACATGAAGTCTAAGAACAAAATTATTCGGTCCAAAGAACAAAGCAGAAAAATATATTTAGTTGAGACGACTAAATATTTTGTTATATAAAACAAGATATTTGGTTGCTATTAAAGAATGCCTCAACTAAACAGTTTGGTTAGAGATACTAAATTTTGCTTCCTAATATTGTTGAAAATTAGAACGCCGACGCAGTACTTGCTGGGGCAGCTTTGTTGCAACCAGAGAACAACGAACAGAGAAAAGGCCACTCACTTTTCCTTTTTATTTCAATGCCATCTCTATTACCGTCATTGTTAATGCCGCTTTGTTTATATAAGAGAAAAAAGAGTGCCCTGAGGAACTACTACCGAGCGCTGCGTACTTGACATTTCGTCCACTATTTTCTGCGAGTCGGCGCCGCTGACATTCGATGCATTTATCTTCGTCACAGCGGCCGAGGAACAATATTTACCAAGTCGCAAGATAAAGAGCCGCGGTTCGCACGACGGGCCGCAATAATAAACTATCGTGGCGCGCGCGTACAACGCGCGGCCTATCGAGGCATCCGACGAAACGATAATATTCGGGTCGTTCAACCGGCTCGGACGCTTCTCTAAGGGAGAAATTTCCGAACGTCGCGCGAAAACGGGGAAAAAAAACGGGGATAAAAATGAACAACCGGATGCGTTACATTTGCGGCAGTTTTTGAATCGCCCGGAAAAGCTGGAAATGTAGCCAGCACGAATTTCCCGTGTGAATTTGTGCTTTCGATTTATAAACGTCAGCGGAAATAAAAGGCACGTCGCGAAATCAAACGGGACGCTCTCTCTCTCTCTCTCTCTCTCTCTCTCTCCCTCCCTCTCTCTCTCTCTCCCTCTCTCTCTCTCCGCGGGCGCAGTTTGTTAATTACGCGGCTCGAACTCGCGCGAAATCGCGTTATCAATTTGCGAACATGCGCCGCGGCTTTTGTCGGGCGCGAAGGTGTGGGTGGTATATAACACGACGGCACGAGACGGGAGAGACGCGGCACACAGCAAACGCGAGCGCGCGGTGTGGGCCACTCCTAGTTTCAGCATCTATATAAGCCACGTGTCGAGTTACTGTTACTGCATCGCGGCACGCCACTTTCCCATTTCCACTGCTCCTCCTGTCCGATTTATCGTGTTCAGACGTAACCGCGAGAGGTCGTTCGCACGGAACCCGCGCGCGACGCAACGCTTTGATGCGATTTGCGCGCACAAACAAACGTCGCGCGCGCGCGCGCGCGCGCGCGCCTGGCATCTTCGAAAAAAGGAAGGAAAAAGAGAGAAGCGCGTTCTATATATTCCCGCAGCTTTCATCGCTCCCCCCCCTCTCTCTCTCTCTCCCTCCCTCCCCTTTTCAACGTTTGCACCATTATCGCGAGATCGGCGGCCAGAGCGAAGCGATAAGAGAACCGCGAGAGAGGGTTCGCCGCGCGGGAGAATACGGAGAACATTCGGGAGGTTTTTCCCTCGTCGCACGGAGGGTCTTAACGGAGGAGTTATCGCCATGACTTCCAATTCACGGCGGCAATCCCCGGTCTTAAGCGACTTTCGGCCGCGCGCGCGCGCGCGCGCGCGAGAGCTTGTCGCCGCTGCACATCGGCATTCAGCGCGCGAACGGCGGACCTTGCATTTTGCAATTCGCAGCGCGCTACAGAAAGGGGTGAGCGAGAGAGCCCGGCCACCCTCGATACGAGAGAGGGTTACGCGAGAGCGAAGAGAGATTGTTGCGGGACGCTGGTTGCCATGGGAGGACTCGGAGGGTGTTTCGAGGGGCTCCCAGCAGTTTACGACGGTGCCCTCGTTCGCCCCGTTCCTCTCTTCTTGATCCCCTCCCCCCCCCCTCCCGAGCATCCCTTTCATCCGCTGCACAGACGTACGCGATATGTACATACACGCACGAGCTGCGGCTTCTCTCGCGCACGCACGCGAGAGAGGGAGAGATCGATCTCCCTCGAGTTACCTAACGGCTCTCTCGTTAGACGACCGGCCAGAAGTCCAGAACCGGTATTATTGAAAAACTGGAACCAGCAGCCGCCGCCGGTTCGTCGGCAGGACACGCTCCGAGAACGGACGACGACGGTCGCCGCGTACAGAGGCTCCGCCGGCTGCTTTATTGCGCAATACTCTCGCGCGACTCTTCGTTTCTAGTTTCCTCGCGAATGATTATCGACGACGATGCGTATTTTCTCTCTCTCTCTCTCTCTCCTCCACGGTCAGGAAACGCCGAAGAACGAGGAGGTACCGATACCTCGGCAGTGCCGCGCGCGCGTTGGTATTCCCCGTACGTCTATAGGCAGATTTCCCGGGGGTAGCGGCACGGATTTTGCCAGGCAGCTCGTCGCGGACTATAAACGTCACGACGAACCGCAATAAAGCGCGCACGGTCGAATAAGCCCGGGGAAAAAAATTATCGGGGCGCGCGCGCGCGCGCGCGCGCTGTAAAAACAATAATACAGCTACAATATATGGCTACGATAAAGCAGCCGAGGAAGATGACTTTCACGGACGCGCGTCGCGCGGAGGAAGAGTTATCGCTCTCCTCTCGCCGATAACGACGACAACGTAATGAGTGATACTACATTTACAGCGAGTAAGTGCAGCGTGACGGAGAGAGAGAGAGAGAGAGAGAGAGAGAGAGAGAGGGGGGGACCGCGCGAAATTCGCGCGCGAACGATGCGTGCGTCGCGGCGCAAAGTTTCGACGAGGTGCTAATTAGCCGCGTCGTTAACTTCTCTGACGAGAATTGCGCGTTGGCAGGTCCTGACGAAAATACACCGGGGTGACTCTATCAGGGACAAGTCGTTTGGAACCCTGCGCGAGCCCGTACCCTAGCTCAGAGGGGAGAGCCCGACTGCTTTACCAGTCATCCTTTCTTTCTCCGTTCCCGCAAACAAGCGCCGAAATGGCAGGCAATTTGGAGGTCGAGGCCAGGTCGTAGGTCAAAGTTTGTTAGGTATTACGGGACCGCAGGGTTGGAGCGTGCATCGCTTATAGACGCGCCCCCTCCTCTCTCTCTCTCTCTCTCTCTCTCTCTGGCCGTCTTTGCCGAGAGGTGGCTACTTTCCGCGCGATAGATTCGTATAGCATTTTGTCGACGCGGAAAGCGTTGAAAGCGCGTCGGCGATGCGACCTCGCGAACTACGATGCTGAGACGAGTACGCGAGTGCAAGTACGTGCAAAAAGAACGAGAAAACTAGCTAGCTTTTTCTCCGACACAGGTCGTTACGTAACCTTGTACGGGATTAACGTTAAATTTATGCAGTTGCTGAACTTGTTAAATAAAACGCGTTTTACGATACGGTACATTAGCATAATGGCTTCGCCTAGACATTTGCATTTGTATTATCTCGATGTTAATTGAAACGTGATATACATTTTAATCGCGACGGACACAGCCGCGGATTCAAATGTATCGAGGGTGATATTTTATTTTAATCGCGCCGCTTGCGTTATCACTGACAATCGCGCTGACGCCGCGACGGTACGAGCGACTCGGCGCATATGAGAAGAGAAATATTGTCGACTTTAAGCGCGCGTCCAGTATGCCAGAATAACTAGCGGAAGGATCGTCGATTTGGGAAAAAAAAAAAAAAAAAAAAAAACGACAAATTCCCCGAATTAAAGAAGAAAGAACAAGAAAGAAAGCACGATATATATTCCATACTGATGCGCGCTCAAAAGCGGAATCCTGACTAATTCCTGGTCCGTAAAACTCGCGAGTAAACTCGCGTCGTTTCCAAGTCGCGCAAACAGTCCGGATTAATTCCGGGATAACGATTCGCCGTCTCCTTCGAGATTACGCCGCGATCCCGCAATATATATATATATATATAGACGGATAAGGAAAAGTCAGTTAACCGGGATTAGCACTAACCGGCGCGTTGGCGTAGCCGAGTGTCGTCGACAATCCGGGCTAACTGATCCCGGGTTAGCGATACTCCGCCGCCGCCGCCCTTTCCGTCGGATTTTAGCGGCGGTACACGTGGACAAAGGGAAGTCAGTTAACCAGAGATTAAGGCTGATTAATGCTAATGCGAACAAATTCTAACCTGTGCGTGGCGCAGGTGAGAAAAGGCCTTGGACGAACAAAAGTGTTCCTTAATATCAGCGCACGTGTAATGTGCGTGCGTGCGTGCGTGCGTGCGTGCGTGCGCAAGGAGGGAGGACATGCACGCTAGCTCGGCTTGGTATTGATTTCCCCTCGTATTTGGGGTAGGACGACAGTGTTACACGACGGGATGCGAAAGGATTCGCCGGGGGGGCGTAGCTTACGCCTGATTTACGCGCGTGGAAAGGACGGCCTCTCGGCTGAGATTAATTTAACGAGTCCCCGCGATTAAAGCTCCGCTCGCCGATATCAGTTTAATGCGCCTCTTATATCGAGCTACTTTTTGCACCTTACAGGTACACGAGTAGAGAGACGAGAGTGCTTTTTCTCGGAGATACTCGAAATTACTTGAAACTCGTCGTGCGAGCGCGTAGACGTGCAAGGGAAAAATGATAATCTTGCCCCGTCCTTTCGTCGTGCTTTTATTACTTGCAGATTCCTAAAGCGCTGGAGTTGTTGCTTTCTCAGCGAGAAGCGATTTACCTCGAGACTACTCTGCGCTGTCTCGCGTGACGCGCCTCGAATGTCGTAATCGTCAACGATTCATCATGTCGCGACCGGCCGGTCCATTTCGCTGACGAGGTAGCGCGCGCGCGCAGGCGAAACCTTCCGCTGCGTCAAAGAGTGCTAATTAATTACTAACCTTGATGTGATAGGAGTTCAGCTTGGTACGGGGCAGGCTGTTGAAAGCGCTGAAGTCCAAGCGACGCGAGAAGATGCCGTTGGCGCCGCAGCTTTGTCTGCAAAAACACGAATACCGAGTGTCGTTGAAAGTCATTCTTTTTGTCACACGAAATGTGAGATGTTGAAAAAATCCCCCCCCCTCTCTCTCTCTCTCTCACTCTCACTCTCTCTCTCTCTCTCGTGGGGTATTTGACTTTCATCAGTCGGAATGTTTGCACACGAGATAATTACAGCAAACAAAAGTGCAACAAAAGTTTCAATTGCGATCACAAGTGGGACAATTGGAAAAGAGTATATACATTTTTACTTTACTGCGATGCGCATTAATTGTTGCGCACCAGCGCGCGGTGTACATATTAATCACGCTAATATTTATATCAATTTCGTGCCGTCTCCTCAAAATTGCTTCCTGCGAATACGAGTACTCGTATCGAACGACACCGTGGGGTCACCGTGGGGTCGCGCAAACGAGCCCTTTAGGGCCTCCGACAGGAATGTCGGGTTCCCAGTGAATTTTTCGCGATTCATAATAACTCCGAACCCTCGGCGGCTCGCGCCGAGTTTGACAACTCCCCTCCCTCTCCCTCCCTCCCCCCCCTTTCCAAGGACGTCACTCGGCCCTACGCGACCCTCGTGTGCTTCCTTTGTGCGCGATGATGAAAACGGACACGGAATATCTGTAAGCGCGTAACCGCGACGCGCAAAATGTGCGCGCGATACGCCTTTGATCGACCTCGATAATGTGACTCAAGTAAAATATATTTTGCTGATTTTGCTCGAGAAAAATCGGCCACTTACACAAGAGTCTTTCACAAGTGTGCACAGAGCGAAATTACATAAGCGTGCCTTGCGACACGCGGAATGTGTAAACACGGAATCAATAACTGTCTCTCTTCTCGCATGCGTGACGCCTTCCTGCCTCTTCTTTTCCTTTCCTTTCCAAGCGCGGTGGTGTGAGAGTGTGAGACGAAAATAATCTGTCGTGCGTTATCGCGGGTTTAGTTGAAAGATCAAGATTAACGCCGGCTGGCGGGAAATAAATCAACAGCTGCTTTTTTTACAAAAAAAAAAAACCCTGTATATACACCGGCTATAAATAAGCTCACTCGCTTCGTTATCGCTTCTTTGCTGCGCAGCGTTTCTACGCGATGAATAATGCATAAGCAGCGAATCAATGGCGCTTATTGGCGCGACAATGTGGAAGACATTCCATCAGCGTAGCGCGCGGTATGGTGAAAAATAAAAATGATGAAATAGAGCGACAGAGAAAGAGAGAGAGAGAGAGAGAGAGAGAGAGAGAGAGAGAAAGAGAGAGAGAGAGCGAGAGAGAGCGAGAGAGAGCGAGAGAGAGAGAGAGAGAGAGAGAGAGAGAGAGAGAGAGAGAGAGAGAGAGAGAGAGAGAGAGAGAGAGAGAGAGAGAGAGAGAGAGAGAGAGAGAGAGAGAGAGCGGGGCGCCGGGGCGAGGTGGAGAAGGCTTCCGCCTTCTCCAGGATACGCGACCAGCGCAAACGAGAATCACGACGGACACAAAGGTCAGATCGGTCGTGCAACATAGTTGCGTCACCAGGAAGACGAGCGAGCGCGGGCGAGAGCGGGCGGGTGACCGAGCGAGCGAGCAAACGAGCGATAGGCGACAACATAGTAGAGAATGGGAGAGGGGAGGGGGGGAGTCAGTCGCAACCTTGGCCTCCACTCTAGCGAAACCGTTCTCTACCGCCGCTTGTATTGGTTATATTTGGCAATGTCAGCCGAGGGTCGCGAAAATAACTGCGCGTCGCGGCGCGCGCGCGCGCACGCGCAGTCGATCGTTTTCCAGGGGAACGTTCGACGAGCGGATCGCGCGATTCGCACGGTGATTTCGCGATCGAAAAGTCGCGCCGATTTACATTTGCTGTTTCACTCGGATGGAATTCGAGGGGAATTTTCGCCGAATAATAAGTTGAGCGGAACAAATAACCCCGACCGACGACGCCCGAGACTTGGCACCTTTAAACGCGGTGGTGACCTCATTTGTTTCGAATCGCCATTGTCCCGACTGGGAACTCCGCCATGTATCTTCCTCCGCTCCAAGATATGTGACGTGTGACATAATCTGTGTATTAACTCGAGTGAAGAGTGTACGAAAACCGTGAATACCGGTGAATCGTGAGAAAGAAATTCGCTCGTCTGTGGACAAGCGCGTCTTATGAAAGCGTACGAGAGAGAGAGAGAGAGAGAGAGAGAGAGAGAATCCGTTAAAAATGAAATTGACTTGCGATGGAGAATAATTCTTACGTCACGACAGCCAAATTGCTTTAAATGTGATTGCAATCTCTCGAAAGCGCTACTAATACTAAAAATACAAAGTCCGTGTGTCTCGCACGTGAAATATAACTTCGCTGGCGCCAGCTGCGTTACGTCGCAATTCTCGCAGTCACAACAAAACAGCGAACACAGCGCGCTGTGTTCAAGTTTAATAAAGGCTATTCTTATCAAGCACACATCGACGCGAAGGGGCATTTACCGTTGTCCGTGCACAATTGTCGGCGTGCAAGCAACAGAGTTACGCCTCTGTCGCCGCGCTATATTCGGCTGTCGCGCGCGCCGTCATTACGAAAAAGAGCACAAAAGTCCAAGCCTGTTATTAACTCCAACAACGATGAGGCGGCTCGCATAACTCGCAAGCGGTTGCGTTAGACGCGCGCGCGCGCGCGCGCTGACTAATGCCGCGCTGTTATGTAACGCGCGCTGTTATGAAAAACAAACGCTTATAGCAGCGCGCGACAGCGCGGAATATAGCGCGGCGGCGCGCTAGACGCTCACGCGAAGTAAATAGCGCTGTTTACAGCGCATTACCGCGCGATTAATCAACAATGTATGTAGACGAGAGAGTCGATAAACGCGCGAAGAATACGCCGTGGCGCCGCCGCCGCCGCTCTTTTTATGCGCGACGTCGCCGCTTGGCAAGCGGCGAGACACGTTGAAAATACACGTGAGCGCTCGCGCGAGGAAGTTGTCAACGTACACATCGCGTCATCGACACACACCGCTGCTGCTGCTGCTGCTGCCTCCTCCTCCTCCTCCTCCTCCTCCTCTACTCGACGCGTTCGGCCGCCGAAAATATCGAGATACAAAAATACCGCTGTCTCTCGTCAAAATGCCACCTACCCTTCACATAAAGCAATTCCACGGCGGAACGCAGCTGTGAGGAACGGTTTAATCGGTCGCTCCCGCTTTGCAGCAGCAGCCGTTTCAATCGACCGATTCAACGACCGCGTACAATTATTTCAACCCGAGCGTGGCCCGCGTGAATTATACCCCGGCTAAAGATAGCGTAGCTATCTCGAAGCGGGAATAATCTCTAGAAAGTATGCAGGAAGCGCGCCCGCGACCGGCCTTCCAACTTTCGTTTTCGTGCTGTGGTATTTCCAGAGCCCAGAGAGATAGAGAGAGATAGAGAGATAGAGAGAGAGAGAGACTCGCGGGAAAAGGGATACGCTTAAAATCCAGAACGAAAATAACAACACACGACGGTACACGTGAAAGCCATTAAGTTGAACGTAACTGCGGGGAACGAAAAAGGAAAAAGAAAAGGAAAAAGAATAGTGCCGCGCCGGCGGCAGTTCGATTTGGTGGGCGCTAACCGGTTTTTCGTAGTGCGTCGGAGCGCGCACTATCAGGGAATGGTATCTGCGCGCGCGCGCGCGCGCTGATGCAAGAGAATTATTATCTAACCTTGACGCGCGCAAAACACGCGCGCACGACGGGCCCCCGAAATCACGCGAGCACGTGGCAAGCAAAAATACCGCGAAAACATTCCGTTATCGCGGCCGGCCGGCCGGGCCGGGCCGGGCCGAGCCGAGCGCGATGACGCATAATCGGTCGAGGCGAAACACGCCGCGCGAGACGTTGAGTACATTTTCGGTGCAGAACGGCGCGAGTCCGCGCGCTGCGCGGAAATTTCCCGGCGGTATCGATGAATATCGCAACACGGGGCCGATTAAATAAGCCGCGTGTGTGCTTGGCTGCCGCCATTAGCGAGTCGTATAAAACACGCCGTAATCACGCGGCAGTCGCGGCACGCGGGACTTGATTTTTAAAGAGAACCGCCGATTAATCGGCGAAGGGCGATGTTGAGTAACAGAGACAGAGGCAGGGCCGCGCGCGCGCGCGCGCGGATAACGATTCCGGGCTACAAATCATCCGTGCAACGCGCGCGGCTACTTGACAAAGGCACAGTAAGTACCGCTAATTCACGCGGCTCTAATTGCGCGCATTATTAGACGCGCGAGACTAGACGAGGGAACAGCCAATGTCGAGCGATTCGCGCGAACCGCGCGTCCCTCGAACCGTCCGTCCGTCTCTCGTTCGACGTCGTCGACGTTCAACTATACTATACTTTGTATCGGGCAAAGGAGAGCGCGATCGCGCTGCTACAGCGCGCTTGGAAACATCTGGCCTGACTTGTACAGCGCGCGCGTCATACGTAAGCACCGTTCACGCGACTAATGTCGCGTCGTAAAATATACGATTTGTGCGCCGACGAGCGGGTATAACATCGCCGCTCAAACCGTCCGCGACGGCTGCTCTGTTTGCGATCGGATGAGCGGCGCTAAGTTCTCGCAAGCGCGAGCGAACCGCGTTCACCGCACACGCGGAAGAACACGCAAGTCCCGGCGAAATGTAGAGCGAGCGAAAATGAACGACAGTTCTTCACGGCGTCGTCGCGCGCCAGTCGCTATCAGAGGCGGGGAGGGAGAATGGACTTCACGTAATAGCGCATCACCTCGTTGCTTTGATCCGCGCTCTGCCGCTGCCGCCGCGCCGGCGGCGACTCACTCGCGATTTATTATGTTGTCGAGAGGAGCCGGTTTAGTCAGCAAGTTCGAGTTCCGCGAAACGCGCCGTCCGTTCGCGGTAATATCGCGCGGTGCCGAGACCCAGCCGGAGGCGTGTTGCCGCTTCGCTGGAAATAGCGGCGAGCGTACACGTACGTCAGTAAAGAGACCGGCGCCTATCGCTACTTATCTCCCTCGAGCACGAGGGGGTACGCGCGCTCGCTCGCTCGCGAGCGAGC